CCCCCCCCCCCCCCCCCCCCCCCCCCCCCCCCCCCCCGTTCAGTCCCTGCTGATGGGGCAGTTAGTTCTACCATTCCAGAATTTCAGGGGTTATAGGCCTTCGTTCCCATGGTAACAAATCCCACGAGCCTGAACTTCAACTACCTTCTGGAAGTTCTCATCTGAATTTGCAGTGCAAGGAGCTCGAGGGGAAAGCAAGCCGGTGCCGGCGTCTCGTGAACGAGCTACGTGGGCTCAGCACAGCGCACGCCTTGTTCGGCACACAGATGGTGTGCAGGATGTGTGTTAGGTTGGCCTTCCTAGAAAACTATGAAATTAACAAAATGTAAACAAAATGTTAAGAGAGAAGAAAAAGGCTGTTTTTCTAAGAGTATCAATGTGAGGAAATCACTTGCCCCGGAAGAGAATCAGACCACCAGAGAAACTGGTAAGAAGCTGGAGAGGATCTGTGGCCGTTTTTTAACCGACGGGAGAAAGCCGAGCAGAAGGCTGAGGCCTCCCCCGTGGTGAGCGCGGCCCACACAGGTGAGTTGACTGCGGGGCCACTGAGGCTGGGAGCTGAAGGGACCAGGTGCCATTGTCCGCATCAGTCAGGAGGTGCAGCGAGCCGAGCAGGACAATACGAAGGCTTGTCCAGCAAAGACCCAGGGGCCCCATCCAGACCACACACCACAGAGCAGACCACAGCAGAGCCCAGCTCCAGCCATCCTGCAGGCACACAGTGTTCTTTCAGAGCCCTGCGCCTCCCAGTGCCTCATTCAACTTCATAGAACAAGTTGGTGGCTCATTTGGTTTTGTGTGTTTAGAATCTGTGAGAGGATGCAAGTTAGAGTCCCAGTGTTAAGCGAGTTAAGTCAGCCTCGCAGATACAAGCAGTAACTTAATTACACTGGAGGAATAGCTCAGAGCCCAAGAGCACTTGCACATGCATCACATGGTTTTCTTTACCCAAGAGAACAAGCAGGCTGGTTGCTAACTATCCCCTCTAAGTGTCAAAAGCTGTCCTTGACTCCAGAGCAGTCGTGGATTAAATTCCATTTCAGTCTAATATTTAGACTCTAATAGAAGGTGGCACTTTTGGTTTGGTTGGAGACAAATTGCAAGGTTGGGTGACAAACAAGTCAAACCAGTCCATTAACCAAACACAATGCATAAAGGGCACAGAGGCTCCCTTGTGTCTCCACAGACAAAATATGCAGCCCCAAGAGATGAGACTTTTAGATTGTGTTCATAACCCTCTCAACTGGCAGGCCAAGAGGAAAAGATGAAAATTGTTTTTGAAATTTTAGTGTATTATTTCTTTAAGGTAAAACCAATGTAAAACTAAACATTCTTACAATTTTGTGTGTGTGTGTGTGTGTGTGAGAGAGAGAGAGAGAGAGAGAGAGAGAGAGAGAGAGAATTCTTTAAAATCCTAAATACGTTTCATTATTTCTATTCTGCTTGGTCCTCCTGCTTTGATTCAAATTCCAAACTCTCCATATTTTAAGTATCTGCTCTGTGGTCTTTTGTTGAGTTTAGAGCAGAAGCAAGTTAACATCTCCTTGCCTCTCAATAAACATTTTACCTGTTTTGCTATGGGATCGCAGAAACTTAAGTGCTATAACCTATTGGGGAATCCCAAGAGAGCCATTAAGTTAGTTACGATGAAACCTTATGTCACATGACCTACTAGTGCTTCCCGTATCTGATCTTCTGCAGTCAACTGGAGGCTATCAAAGGAGTATTAACCACACTCACAGCACAGTGGACAACTGGGACCCGCCTGGCTCCCCCCTGAGGCTCTGTAATTTGGCAGCTACTGCCCAGGGTAGGAGAAAGACAAGCCTTGGCTCAGGGCCCCAAGTATAGGGAGCAGAGGGAGAGTGGAGGAATTACAGAGAGATTAAGCTAAACAGTGATCTCAGGAATTGGAGAGAGGCAAGCAAGAGTGCGAGGACAGACTTCAACTGTTTGTACATAGGGAATCACAAAATCTTATATTGTTAAGAGAGGATACCTCCCATGATTTGATTTCCAGCTATGCCAAACCAGGGCTCTCATTTATAAAATGACCGGGGTTGGGGCAGGGGGAGAAAATCACTAAGGCTACAAACCAGTGATGTTTTGGAGTGCATCTTACACAGCATTCTACACCAGCAGTCCCCAACCATTTTAGTTCCAGGGACCGGTTTCATGGAAGACAATTTTCCCACGGACCAGGGGAGTGGGGGGATGGTTTCAGGATGATTCAAGCCATTACATGTATTGTGCACTTTATTATTATTACATTGTAACGTATAATGAAATCGTTATACAGCTCACCATAATGCAGAATCAGTGGGAGCCCTGAGCTTGTTTTCACTTGCCATTCACTGATAGGGTTTTGATATGAGCTGTAAGCAATTGATTTATTATGGTGTCTGTGCAGTCAAACCTCTCTGCTAATGATAATCTGTATTTGCAGCCACTCCCCAGCGCTAGCATCTCCACCTCAGCTCCACCTCAGATCATCAGGCATTAGATTCTCATAAGGAGTGGGCAGCCTAGGTCCCTCACATGCGCTGTTCACGGTAGGGTTCACGCTCCAATGAGACTCGAATGCCGCCGCTGGTCTGACAAGGTGGCGCTCAGGCGGTAATGCGAGCGACGGGGAGCGGCTGTAAATAGATGAAGCTTCGCCCACTCGCCTGCCACTCACCTCCTGCTGTGCAGCCCGGTTCCTAACAGGCCACAGACTGGTACCGGTCCGTGGCCCAGGGGTTGGGGACCCCTGCTCTACACTGTCTTCTATCACAATACATCAAAGTGGTGTCAGAAAGTCACGCAGTGAACAGGCTATGACCAAACCATGACTTCATTCTCATCATACACCAGCAACACATAAAACTCAACAGTCTCAGTCTAATGAAAAGAATGTAGATTTTACAAGCTTCTGACTATAAAGCTAGTCAAGAAGAAAAGCTTCGATGGTGGTTTAAAGAATTCAGTATAAACTATTGGGAGGACCACAAATTTAGGTGTGTGACACACCACTGGTATCCCGAGAGATTTGTCATGTAGGATAGTAAGTCCGAGGTGAGGTCGGAAAGTAGCACCTGTATCTGCAGGACACCAACACCATTCACGAACCTCTCAAGGACCACTCGAAAATGAATGCATTTAGAAAACTACTGTTTTATAGTATATGGTGCTTCTGGTCATCACTATGTCCTTCCATCCCCACTACACACACACACACCCCCCACACATACAGCGCAGCCTAACATTATAAGGCCACAGAAAGGTGTACTAGAGAACCAGGATGTTTTTACCCATCGAAGTTTCAGGGTGACTCTTTCAACCCAGACCCAATTAAAGCCATATGGCCTCTGGTGGACACTTTTTTAAAGGCTGTCCTATAGCTCAGATATTACAAAATACCACAGGAAAAAAGAATGTCAACAGCCCTAATCCTTTACCTATACATTAAGCTACTAAAGGTGACATGGCCTCTGGAAAATCGTATTAATTGACTAAATTTTCTACACTGTGATGGAAAAAAAAAGACAATACATATGATGTGTATAGCAAAGAAAAAAATTCATGTGTACGAAATTCACGTGTAGGACTCTAAACATTCTTGCAGCACATAGCATTCCAAGCCATTTCCTTATATGCAAAACAGATTTTTTAAAAAGCAGGAAGACATTGGCAGTATTCCTATTTTCTGCAGATACTAACAGTGTTTTATTCCTGTGTTGTGATTCAGATTTTAATCTGTCACTATAGCATGTTTCCAGTAGTTGTTTATGTGCTAAGACATTTGTGTTTGGCCTTTTTCTTCTTGTAGGAAAAATAAAACTTGAATTCTGTGTATTTTAAGTCTTAAAAGCAAAATGTTCTTCAAATAATGAGGATTTCTTTGCAGAACAAGTACCTGAGCAGCACTCAAAGCAGTGTAACTTTGTTGTTAAAATATGTCATCTACTTAGATTACAAATTAGGCTCCAAGCACTCAAAACACAAGGAAAAAGAAACTGTAACTCCACTCCAGAAGAAGCCAGAAACGAGTCCCTAACAACCCAATGGTGGCCAAACAGTGCTGCTTCAGAGCCCAGATGTTTCAGCACAGAGCCTGAGGAACAGCTGCTGAGAGAGGGAGGAGGTGGACTGAGCTAGGTGTCCAAAGCACTCACTCCATGTCCAGTTCAACCAAACTAGCTCTGCTTGTATTCATTCCACAAATCAGGCTTCTGTGAACGATTTCAGGTGAAGAAAAGAGTGCCACTACAAAAAAAAATAATAATAATCTCCTGCAACAATCTGATGACACTGAATAAGTTCTCTGATCATTCTGAAATGTCCAAGTAATGCTGTAAAGCTGTTCTGAATATTTATTACGTATCTTTCGGTAATAAAAGTCAAGACTGCCGTGTAATTCACACTTTTTTTTTTTTTTTATTCTGGTGTAGAACATTGTCGATGTCTAACCTTCATTCTAGAGGGTATTTCAGAGAGGGGATGTCAGGAACCAACTATTCCCAAGGCCAACCCTGTCATGCAGTAACCTTTGGGCTATTCCAGCCCTGGAGCTTTAAATATATCTACCAAAAGGCTTCTGTGAGTGCATTTCTCACCACCACAATCAGAAAACACTAGAGATAGCACCCCAACAAGATGACATCTGTAGTTTAAAACAAAAACAAAAACAAAACAAGCTCCAGCATGAGATTATAAATCAGTCACATGAATGGTAGCCGGCTGTCAGTTGGCCAACCCCTGCTAGGTCTTAAGGGAAATCTGTCATTGGGGCCACCTCGCCCTGGCAAGATGGGGTTAGGTCCTGGAAGGGGGCCGATTGGGTCAAAACGTGGTCTGAGTGGAGGGAACTGTCTGGGTGTCTCTCCAGGCCCAGGGATGAGTGAATTGATTGGATCCCCAACATAAGGAAGGGTTGGTCTTTCATCATATTCACCACCAATAATTCCTGGAGGAAGGAGAGAACTGGGAGGAAAAGGCCTGGGGTGCAAGGGGTTGGGGTAGAATGGAATGGGGTGGGGTGACGATGGCAGGAACATCACATGCCGCCCTCTCTGAGCTTCTTTTCTTTGTTTGTGCCTCTTCTTGTACAGCTATAGAAAAACAAGGACAAGATATGGTGAGTGAGTTCGATGTTTCCCCAAAGTTCGTTTGCTTTCATTGTATAGATCTATATATCCTTTTCTTTTCCCATACTATTCCCAAAAAAAAACAAAAACAAAACAGTGCACAGAAGAGAACTTTTACCAGTTTCTATCTGCATGAATAAGGTAGTAGATATGAACACAATGCCAAACGAACTCTATTCTTTAACCACACTGCAACTGAGCAATTGTGCCAATTTGGAGTAACAATACATCCAAAGGAGGGATAACTGAGTGACATGTACTCTCAGGACTGCAATCTAGAGCTCTCAAGCTGATATGCAATTTTAAGTCAGCCTTTTTTGAAAGTGGAAAATTTAAATATTTGTTGAAAATGTCATGCCACACAATATAAAAAGTTAAGGTACTGGCAGGGAAGGGGGTGGGGGGCCAGCACTTATGTTCAGTTTCTCACCTAACTTATGTCCCTAATGGATCTCAATTTAAATAACAAAAAAGATGCTATTTTAGAGGATGGAACATATTCCTAAAGAACAGTACTATGTATTTTGTACATATGTGAGGACTTTTCATTGAATTTTATTCTCTAGTCCTTCATCCCAAGTTTCTGAGTCCTATCAATGTCTTTTTACAGTGGTATCTGCAAATAAAACAATATAACTTATTCTCTTCATAATTTACTATTCTAGCTAGCTGAACAGCTGAAGATTACTCCAGCACAAAAACAACTCAATTTTTTTAACAACAGAAGAAGGAAGAATATGTTAAGGTGAAAACAGTCATTGTGTTAAAGATTCTTTTTCCTGTATAATTACAAGACACTAAGGACTGAGTCTAAGGTAGAAGTTGAAAACATTTTCATTTACTAAAAATAAGCAATAAATTTAATTAAAACATTGCATTATATCATAAAAAAGTGGAAAATATGCCCTTAATGTATTAATTCACAAGTTATTTCTGTGTATGAACATTAGCCTTGGTATTTAAAAATACCTACTTCTTTCCAATCTGTGTCTCGACCTCTGACAGTACCATCTACAAAGACAAAACAAAAAACAGAGATTTAAAGACGTTTCATTCATCCGACATTAAACCTGTCTTACTTCAATTTTCTATCCTGAAATAGTCTACTTGATCTAATGGACTGTTTGTATTGCAGAGAACACAGAAATGAATGGGGAGAGTTTTCAGGACATAGGCAAAGGTATATGAAGCTTAGAAACTCTTTACAATAAAGCTGTGTTATGATTATCTTACTCTTAAAAAAAAAAAAAAGCCCGGGCTTCCCTGGTGGCGCAGTGGTTGAGAGTCCGCCTGCCGATGCAGGGGACGCGGGTTCGTGCCCCGGTCCGGGAAGATCCCACATGCCGTGGAGCGGCTGGGCCCGTGAGCCATGGCCGCTGAGCCTGCGCATCCGGAGCCTGTGCTCCGCAATGGGAGAGGCCACAACAGTGAGAGGCCCAGGTACTACAAAAAAAAAAAAAAAAAAAGCCCACAACTTAAAACTTCTGGCAAGCTGAGTAATTAAAACCTCAGTAACAAAGAACCCTTTTCTTGTTAACATGTTATCATGGAAATCACCTCGAAAATCCCGCAGATATAAACACCTCCACAGAAGTTGGTCATTCGAAGCAATATAGAGGTCACGACAAACTGCAGACAAAGACAGGACAGAACGAACATCCAAAAGTCGGAAGATCCGCAGTTTCAGCTCCAATGGGAGGACTACCAACCCAAATACATCTGGTAGGTTCAGTGCTAAAAGGAAAAAGAATAGGTATCACTGAGTAAAGAACATCCAGTTTCCCCATATATTCAACCAAAGTTGCCAACTTTCTAAAGAGATGATAAATTAGATGGTATCCTCAATGATCCAAGCTTAAGTTATCTGTAACAAACTTTTCTCCCCAGGTTAACTCTATAACTACTACTAACTCCAAGCCCCTTATTCTCTTTATGCTTTAGTAGAGAAACAAATTACTTTTTAATACAGATCAAATAAATAACTATGACAATTTCTAAATACTAGCCAATGGCCTCCTTGGTTTCAAGGGATATTCAGTACAACAAAAAATTCTCTATTCAGCTATACAAAATGGATAATAATTGGCTTGTGCAATTGGTTTCCAATGCTGCTACTTACTAGCTGTGTGCCTTTGGACAAGTTATTTAAACTCTAACTCAATTTTCTCATCTGTAAAATGGATTAGTAATACTACCTACCTCGCTGAGTTGAGAATTAAGTGTGTAAATACATACAGAGTGCTCAGAACAATGTTTGGCACATAATTAGCACTCGAGTGTTAGATTACTATTATTGGATATCTAGCTGAAAAAGAAGGGAGGTAGACAAATTCAAAAGCAAAACCAAGAAAGGAAAAGAATAATATATTCCAAAGTCAAATGAAAATTATTTTTTCATTATTAGCTCCTTTGAATATATGGGATACCATTCTCAACTAGCAAAGATAATCAAAGTCCAGTAAAGGGTTTTAAAATTCACATTATTCTTTTCCCTCACCACCAGCCAAAGAAGAAAACTATGATTATAATAGCCTTGGCACCATGCAACTTGAGACCTAAAATTATCATTTTTCTACATACAAATAGCAGATAAAAGCCACATATCTATCTGTATAAACCTGAAATTATTTACCAGCCAAAAGAATGTGGTAAGTTATGATTCTACCCTATCATTTTCTACCCTATAGTTATACTTCCCCGTCCCACAGTCACCAGGTTTGGCCATTTTTACTTGTTTTGTCCAGTGAAATGTGAGTGCAAGTGGCATATCATTTGTGAACAAAAGCTTTAAAAACCAACACATGGTTAGGCCACTGGCCCTCTCTTCCCTGTGCCAAAAGAAGAGCAAGCCCTGGATGAGGACTACTCACCACTCCTCGGCCAAAGCCAAGCCCCACACAGCACGTATGCAAGTGAGACATAAATGTTCACTTAAGATTTTAAAATATTTTTTACTACAACACAAAGAGAAAGCTGATTAATACAAGGATTTTGAGTGAATTATAAACCTCACTGAATTAGCTTCACCATCTATCAAATGAGAGTAAAATCTACTTCAAAGTTGTTGCATTAAATAAGAATTAAATAAGCATTAAATAAGAATGCATGTGAAATATCCAAAGTACCTAGCACAGAGTCCCAATAAATAGTTAAAAAAAAAAAAGTAGAACAAATTTACAGGCTACACGTTATTTATATATGTATTTATTGAACACTTACTATAGGCCTGACCGTGTGCTAGGCCATGAGAATACAAAAGTGAAAAAGACATATTCCCTGCTTTCAAGGTATTCATAACCTTAGGTGGAGAGAAATCATGTCAAAAATTATTATGGGGCCTCCCTGGTGGCGCAGTGGTTGGGAGTCCGCCTGCCGATGCGGGGGATACGGGTTCGTGCCCCGGTCCGGGAGGATCCCACATGCCGCGGAGCGGCTGGGCCCGTGAGCCATGGGCGCTGAGCTTGCGCGTCCGGCAACGGGAAAGGCCATGACAGTGAGAGGCCCACATATCGCAAAAAAAATAAATAAATAAATAAAAATTATTATGATACACTGGATAAAGGGCTATAATAAAGATACGTATAAAATGCAGTGGAGATACAAAGAGGATGTGAAGAGCAATTAAGGAATTAACATTTAAGCTTAGTCTTAAAAGAGCAGAATTTCCACTAGGATGAGAAAAGAGGGAAGAAAAGAAGGAAGATTTATGTCACCCTTAAACATATGTGAACTTACTATTCTTTCCAGCCATTCAACCTGTGATGATTTATCATTTCTCACCTTGTCGGGTAAAAGCCAGAAGAGGATACACCAGCTGGTCCTTGAAGAGGCGAGAGAGCTTCTGAAGATCTTTGTATATCTTGGCTACATTTTCCCCTAGAATATTTTTTAAATGAAAAATCAAAACACACAATCAAATGGAAAAACTTGAAATGGTGTTCTCTACTTCTGCCAAACCAAATCAAAGTGGTTAAGTTAGTTTTCACAATTCCTACATAAACAGAAATGAACCAAAGTCTCTGGTCGAAGAGGAAATAATACAATGTGTAACTCTGAAAGCTGAATCATCTTTAAACAGATTTTTCCTTACTATAAAAGTATTTAGGAACTTACAAATAAAAGAATAACAGTACCTAGGTACTATACTATAAGCCATAGTAAAAATTGATTAAAATGACTTGTCAAATGGAGCAGCATATTCCTACCCAACATAAAAATTACATATTGAAAATATTCAATATAATCTGAAAACTTGTAATCTAACAGTATTAACTTTCTTCCTCCTTTTTCATTTCCTTTTTCCTTATTTAACAGAAATCAGATTATCTGAGCTATATTCCTGTAAAAATTGCTCTTAAAAAGCAGGTCTCAGGAGTCAAATCTATTCCAATCCTAAATTCTACCATTTATTAGCTCTGTGACCTTGAAGTAATTTAACCTCCTCTAGACCTGTTTCCTGATCTAGAAAATGGGCATAACAACCTCTACTGCTTTAGAATGTAGAGTATTTCTACTCCCCACAGCAAGGTCCTCCATAGTACAGAGATGAATATAAAGTGTTATAGCCAAGGAATTTCAAGTTTTTCTGGTCTTAATGGTAAGACCATCTTTACAGATTTATCAGTCTAGTTCATGCGTTCTCAACAAAAACAATATTGCCCCCAACCAGGCAAAAATCCCAGCTATTACATTGGTCTGTGACCCTCCAAAGGGCCACAATATACAAGTAAGTATGCAGTATATCTATGGAGTTAAAATTTCATGAGGGAGAATGATCTGGGGGGAAAAATGTGTACAAACTCTCCTTAGGGGATTGATAATGAAAAAATGGTTGAGAAACACTGGCCTAGTATGACATTAAATGTTCAGAGACCATTATAAATACGTATCTGATGTCTCCTTTTCTTATCAGCTTTAGTTTATATATGTTAGTCTCTCAGGGCCTGATCTCCCCTGGGAACTAACAAGAATAAGTCTCAAGACCTTCAAAGCAAAGATCTAGATCTAGGTAGCTTCCCTTAAAAGGCACTGCTGTAAGTCCCATCTCCCTGCTATACCACACCATTCCCCATGTGGATTTTAAAAGCCGCCTAAATTTACTATGAGGATAAAATGAAAAATACATCTGTAAAGGCCCATGTCCAGCAAAAGACAAGTACTAAAAGATGTTAATTCCCCTTCCACCTCATCTCTTCTCCTTCAACTACTTACCTGCCTCTCACACTTTGGGTTTAACTGAGAGAAAAAAGAAAACTCGTCTTCTTTGCATCTATTAATTTTTATAGAACATAAGCAAAACCATGCCTAGAATGCAAAATTTTGGCAAAGTTCCAATCTGTATCAAATAGCAACCAAATTGATATAAGTTTAAGCAAACTTTTTTTTCTTTTTTTTTTTTTTGCGGTACGCGGGCCTCTCACTGTTGTGGCCTCTC